CATCAGGCTTTAATGCCTTGGTCGCCCAGGGGCGCTCCCTCACTTTCCCAACGTGCCATCCTGCACAGGCGCCCCTACTTTTGGGGCATTCCTACGCACATGTCCCCTGCACAGCCCTGTCCCGGTGTTTTTCCTACCTTCTCAGGTTGGCATTCCTTCTCCCTACTGTTTGCTTGTCCAAAACCTCATCAGTCCTCACAGTGAACTGGAGTACCCAGAGGAGGGCACAAATTAGAAAGAAAACTATAGGGGCCCCTGAGTGGCTCAGTCGGTTGAGCGTTTGACTTCAGCTCAGGTCACGATCTTGAGATTCGTGAGTTCAAGCCTCACATCAAGCTTGCTGCTGTCAGCCTGTCGGTGCAGAACCCTCTTCCAATCATCTGTCCCCCTCTGTCTGCCCCTCCCCAGCTTGCGCTCTCCCCAAAATAAATAAAAGGAAAAAGAAAGAAAACTATAGGTGCCAGCCAGAGTCTCTGACCTGACATCTGAACCCCTCCCAGAATACAAGCAGGAGGTGGGGTGGGGGTGGGGGGTGCAGAGGGCTGAGGTCCTCCAGTTCAGGGATGGGGCAGTACAAACCTTCTGTCAAATGGGTGGCACCTTGTTAATTATTTGCTGTGCGGCCCCAGATAGATCACTCTCTGAGCCTCAGTCACCTGTCTGCCTCCACTTCCTTACACAATCTTCCTTGTGAGAGTCATATGTGCTATATGCTGTGAAATGACATTGCGAACAGCCCTCTGTGGGTGGGAGGCAAGGGGGGGGGTGCTCTGGGTATCATCAGACCTTCTGGAGTCTTCTGGAATGGCTCTACTTGCCTGACCTCTCCACTCTTGACAGCTCTCTGCACTTAGAGAGAGATGCTTTCTGACTCTTGCATGCCAATGGGCTCACTCGAGTCGACACAACACTGAGCGCCTTAGGAACAGGGGGTCTCCGCTGGTGCGGATTATCTCTAACTCACCGTAAGGTACACAGAGGCAATGCACCTGCTGATTGTTGGACCCTTAAACATCACTGTCATCATCACCACCGCCACCCCTCTCCCCCAAAAGCCTGACCAGAGAGAGACCTGCGGGCTGCCTGGGGAGCAGGGACAGGGAGGACCCCTCCTGACGGTGACCCCACTCATAGCTTCCTATTCTCTGGATTTTGCCTTAAAGCTAATATCTCTATGGGGCGCCTTGGTGGCTCGATCGGTTGAGCATCTGACTCTTGATTTTAGCTCAGGTCATGATCTCATGGCTCATGGGATTAAGCCCGGCATCAGCGTCCACACTGACAACACGGAGCCTGCTTTGGGATTCTCTCTCTCCCTCTCTCTGTGCCCTGCTCTTTGTGTGTGTGTGTGTGTGCGCGCGCGTGCGCACGCATGTACACACGCATGCACACGCTCTCTCAAAATAAATAAACTTTCTTTTAAAAAAGCTAATATAGGGGCACCTGGGTGGCTCAGTTAGGCATCTGACTTCAGCTCCTGTCATGATCTCACAGTTCATGGGTTTGAGCCCCGCATAGGGCTCTGTGCTGACACCTCCGAGCCTGGAGCCTGCTTCGGGTTCTGTGTCCCCCTCTCTGCCCCTCCTCTGCTCACACTCTATCTTTCTCTCTGTGTCTCTCAAAACTAAATAAACATTTTTTTTAAAAGCTAATATAGCTATCATTAATGTACTTTCTTGGTGTCCTGAAATTCACAAGGTTCACACTCGCAGCTTCTCATCCTTGCCCATTGGCAACTCCCAAGGGCTGCGCTTCTGGGCCTCAAATGTGTCCGGGCAGGGGAGAAGCAGGTACTTGAGGGTATGGTGGTGCCTAAGGGCCCGTGTTCGTGTGGGGGACGTCTCAGGACTCCCTGCGTGGGTTATCTCACTATTGCCCTGCAGGGCACCAAAGACTCCCTTCCCCATCTCCCCCTGCCCACTCGCCACCCCTTCCCACAACCCTCCAGGACCTTCAACTCAAAAGCCCCGTCTTCTACCTGGGGCCTTGGGCTCACTCCCCCCAACACTCCTCACCCCAGCATCTGTCCTGCCCACCCCTTCCCTCCGGTTCTTCCTGGTCTCTGGGGTGGGGGCTCAGAAAGTCTGCTCTGGTGAGGGACCCCACGGGAAACCAGCTTGAAACCAGTTGCTTCCCAGAGAAATGGCCATGACAGGCTCAACAAGGACCCAGAGCCTGTGTCTCCCCCCCAGCCCTCCAACCATTTGTAACTAGAGGGGCTTTCCCAGGGTCTCCTGAGCTCTCCCCATGCAAGGGAGAAGCTGCTAAATGCTGGATCCTTCCTTCCCCCAGGGCTGGCAGCCCGTTCGGTGCCTCTTTGGAAAGACCCGGCCTCCTGGGCAGATGCAGGCCACAGGACGAAGGCAGGCAGAGGTCACCATCCAAGTGAAGAAAAAGTCCCCGTTCCCCACAGGGGGAAGGCTGGAGAGGGGAGACGGGGAGGTGGGGGGGGAGGAGGGAGGCCAGCCCCCTTTCAGCCCCTGGGTCACGGCTTGGCATAGGTCATCAACTGCACAACACAAGCCATGCCCCTTGCTCTGGACCCACACGTCTCCAGAGTGACCCCTTTAGCACCCCCAAAGGTAAGATGAGGTCACAGCCCAGGTCCAGCTCTTTGGCAGCCCCGTCCCCTGCAAAGGGAGTGAGGGAAAAGGAGGAAGCCAGCCACCTGAACCCTGCCTGAGGCCAGCATGCGTTGGCCCCCCAGGGAATGCCAGCCCCGGTCTCACTCACCCCGTGTCACTGGGGCAGGTGCCCAGAGCCAGAGACCCAGTGTCAGGATCCAGATCACCAGCATCTCCCGATGGGGACCTGGACGCAAGGTCTTCCCTCGTGAGGAGGGACCGAGAAATGAGAGCTCCCAGGGAGGGATCCAGCTATTTAAAGGACCCCGGAGATCTTTGCCTTGGGGAAGGTCAGCGCCTGGCCCAGAGTAGGGGCGCGGTGATGGGGCTGGGTGGATGGTGTGTGGTGACCACAGGGAGTTGGCCAAAGGGCAGCCTATCAACCTTCCCGTCTAACTCCAGGAAAGCTGACCGCCCACAGCCAGGGTCTCTCCAGCGGAAGCCAGAGTCATGGGTGGGGCAGAGTGAGAGGGAGGGACCAGAGACCAGAGGCGCGAAGAGTGTCTGACGGTTACCAAGGGGCGGGGGCGAAGAAATGGCAGGGAGAGGGTAACTATGGAGGGAGGAGTGACGGCCCTTCCAGGATCGGCCAGCCACAGGCCAGGCTGAGTGAAGGACCCCGCACCCCACCCCTGAGAAACCCCTCTTTCTTCCAGCCTTCCTTCTCCATCATCCACCTCAAGCTGGCCCCTTCCAAACTTCCAGTGCCTCCCCCCACCTCCAGGCTCGCAACCACCAACCCTTCTCCTGGGTGGGGCTCCCATTCACACCTGAGGCTTTATGGTCCTGGTCTCCACCCCCAGCCACGCCAGTCCCTCTCCTGTCCAGGGCAAAGATCTCAGGGGCTTTTTCCAAACCCCTACCCAAAGAACCTCATTCTGTCAGCCCCAAGCACCCTCAGCTCCAGTCCACCTACCCACAGTCGTGGGAATGGGAGGGCCCACGCCAAAGCATGGCAGACTCTGGCGTGAGTGTATGTGCCACCCAAGCTTGGGGAGGCCCCACATCTTTGGGGAGACCAGATTTACCCACCCGTGCAAATGGCAGCTGACGTAGCCTGGGCCTCCCACCCCCCACCCCCCGACCCAGCCCTGACCTTCCTATGTCAAGGGAGGAAGGGCACAGAGGCTAAACCCAACAGGCCCCCACCTGCCGCTGAACTGGTGGCTCCCCCAGCCACCTACTCTCTAAGAAAACAGGCCCCGAGCTCTAGGAGGAAAGTCATGGCCCCGAGGACAGCCCACGGATGCCTTCCTTGCTTGCTGGGAGAAACTGGTGTTCCCAGGCCCTCCCACATATCCTCTGGAAGTCCCTGTTCTCCAAGTGGAGGTGCCGTGAGATAAGAAGCAGAAAGACACAGAGCAACTTCTTTTACAAGAAATGCCACATTGTGTTCCCGCGGGAGAACTGGAGGCTGGCAGGCTTCCTGTCTGCACATGAGATGTTCCTGCAGAGAAGGCTGGGGACTTCTGGCCCCTGAGGTTACTGCAGGGATGGGGGCGAGGCTAGGGAGAGGGGAGCGGTGAGGAAGGGTGGGAGGGGACAGGGGAGACAGAGGAATGAGGCCAAGGAGCTGAGAGGGCTTCTCCATCTCAGGGCTCCACTTCTGCTCATTCTTGAGGCCCCAGAAAACTGGGGTCCAGTGTCCTTGGGAGGGAGAAGGAATGGAGTGTCAGAACAGGAGACCAGGGCCTGGGAAGCAGCAGCGGGGGACCTGAGAGGCAAGGGACATCTGTACATAACTGGAAACCGGGTGTCAGGGGAGGAGGGAGGATTTAGGATGGGGGCACTGGGATAGGGGTAAGAATTTAGGGCTGAAGTCATAAAGACAGGGGAAGGGACAAACTGGGGGACACTTGGGGCTGGGGGCTGGGGTATGGAGTGAGTCAAGCAGTGGGTTCACAGGGGGGAGATTTAAGGGTGGGGGCAAGGGACGCGGCAAGGAGTTCCATAGGGAGCAGGAGGGAGGGTGGTTCCAGCTGCGGGTGGGGAACAGGCATAGGGAGCCGCATAGGAGAATAGAGACTGAGGTCCGAGACCCCTGAAGCATGTGGGGACACAGGAAGGTGCACTGGGACAGAGATCTGCCGGAGCACATCTAGTTTTCACAACAATCGTTCAAGGTATCAGCACGAGTATGCTATACTCATTTTACAGGTTCAGAGAAGTTACTGACTTGCCCGAGGTCCCACAGTGGAGAAGCCTGGGTTTGAACCGGGTCTCCAGGTGGGTTTCACCCAAGCTGGGAGAAGGATGAGGATCGGGGGGCTGGTCGGATTTTGCCCAAGGTAACCGGGAGATGGCGCTGCACGAGTCCTCGGGCCATCTCTCAAAACGGATGCTGTGCGTATGGTTCCTTCCTACCGTTGGGGGCAGGGGGCAGGGGGGGAGGGGGAGGCGCAGGGCCCACAGCAAGGACGAGGCCACCTCAGGTCTCTGGATGTGCACCCGCCACAGAATATGTGTGAAAGAGGGAGTGGGAACAGGGAGCCACCCTGCTCAGACTGGCTGGAAAGCCACTGCCTCCTGGTCCTAGCCCGGCCCCTGCCCTGGTGGCTGGCGGGAGGGCTTCTGGACCTGGATCTGGGAGAGCTCCTCACCATCCCCCCTTGGCACCCTCACGCTCACATTGATGTCCAGGTCCTCCAAGGCCACCTGGAAGTTTTCATCCTTGACTAGAGAGAGAGAAAAGGGCGGGCGGGGGGGGGGGGGGGAGAACAGGAGGAAAGAGAGGAGAAAGGGGCAGGAAAAGAGAAGGGAAGGAAGGGTGGGGAAAGCAAGGCCTGGGAGGGGGGCTCCTGTGCCCAGTGCCTGCCCTGTAGGGATGGCGCGTGCAGGACCCGCGCCTCCTTCGGGGGGTGCCCAGGGAAGTGGCTACTCAAGCTTCCCGCCAGGAGGTCCGTGTCTGCCTCGGGCAAGGGAGGTAGTTGGGTCCTCCCCAGGCCCGCAGTGGCGCCCAGGGAAGCCTCTGCCCCCCTCCCCGGGAGGCAGGACTCACCTGTTCGCTCGTCCTCCAAGCCCAAGTCCGAAAACGTCCCCACAGTGTCCTCATCGCACATCCGTCGCCGCCCCAGGACCTGAGTTGGGGCGACGCGCTGGCAGAGCAGGACCGCCCCAGCAGGGACCCCTTTGCCGCCCTCACGCCCACCCCCAACGCGCTCCCCTGCCTCCGCCTCGGCCGGCTGTGCGGTAGCGGGCAACGAAGATGCTCAGCGCCAGCAGCCGCAGAGCCGCGGCCCCCCCGTCAGGCCCCCGACCAGTGCCCTCCAGGCGACAGCCACCTCGCAGCGCGGGCCCGAAAACCAGCGCGTGTCCGTGGAGAAGCAGCTGGAGCAGGGGGTCACATGTCACAGACCCTCACCACCATCTGGGTGGGTCGGCTACCATACTTGGACTCCGCGGGCGCCGGCAGGTGGACCGGGGGGGGGGGGGGGGGGGGGGGGGGGGGGCGGCGGGGGGGGGGAGGCGAGGGGGCGGGGCTCCCGCGGGTGCTCAGGGTCTCACCGGCGAGCGGGACCGCTCCTCTCCACAAGGCACTGGCCTTCGTGACAGTCGATGGCGCCATCCACGCCCGACGTGCATTTGGTGACGCGGTGGAGCCGGTTCTCCCCCTTCTCCCCCACCGAGGGGAAGAAGAAATCCTCATAGCCTTTGGCAGTGGCGCGGCGACAGATGGCTGGAGGTGGGAGGGGGGTGCAGAGAGACAAGGACCTCATCCACTCTATTCAGAGGCCTGGTTATAATCACGCTGAAAACAGATGGGAGAAACTACGTTTCCGAGGGTGGGGCGTCGTGGAGCGGACCCTGAGATTAGATGAGGGGAGGGTCGGCCCCTAAGACCCTCACCTTCCCTGCTGGTCCTCAGGTGAGAAGCTAATAAGCTCCAGGAAGGACAGCCCTGCCGGGGCCACACCACTTGCCTCCTGAAAGGTCTTCCCTCCTCCCCAAGAATGTCAATGGGCAGATGTCCACGGTGGGAGAGTCACGACCTCCGGGGGCCACTCAGCCCTTTGCCCACCCTTACCTTCCAGGGTCAGCTCCTTCCTGGTGTCGTTGGTCACCTTGATGGAGTCAGGCCTAAAACACAGGGCTGGGGAGGACACAGGCACAGGTGGAATTGAGGGAGGTTAAAGGGTCAGGGACAGGGGCGACTGGGTGGCTCAGTCAGTTAAGCCTTGGACTCTTGAACTGGGCTCAGGTCATGATCTCATAGTTCATGACATTGAGCTGCACTGTCAGTGCAGAGCCTGCTTGGGATTCCCGGTCTCCCTCTTTCTGCGCCTCCCCTGCTTGCTCATTCTCTCTCTCTCTCTCTCTCTCTCTCTCTCTCTTTCTCTCTCTCTCACACACACACACCTTTAAAAAATAAATAGAGGGTCAGGGACAGGGAAGCAGAGCAGGGAAGCCTGGGGAGGGGCAGAGAGGGCTCTGCCACTGTGGGGGACATGTGGAGGGGCTGCAAGGGAAGGTGACTCTTGCCTCTCTCATCTCCCCCGAATAAGCAAGCATCCTCAGCCATCCTGAAAATGTGGAGCAGAACTTTCAAGGAGTCTTCCCCAGCACCCAGGTTCAGACTAGCCCCTCCTTAACCCCATCCTTGGCCCAGTTGGCTGTAGGCCTACCCCAGGGCTGGCACTGGAGCCCAGAGGCTCCTCGCCAAGCTGGTGGCTCTGCCCCAGCCCCTCCCTCCTGTCTTGGCTTACTCTAATCACTCTGGCAGCTGTCCCCATCGTGGCTGACATTCTGGAGCCTCCTCCTCCAAGACTGTCTTCACCTTCTCATACTCGCTCTCCAGCTGGAGGCTAAAGGGCACCACATTGCTGCCATTCCTGAGGGGATCGAGAAGGTTGGGTGTCTTACAGGGTGCCCAGGCCTGGGGCACACAGGTCTTTAGAAGGTCACCTCCAGGACCAACCACAAGTGCGCTGGTGTGAGGGGAAGGCAGAGGCAATGAGTTGGGATTCCAGACACATTATTTTCAGGACCCACCAGCATCCCTGACTTGGTCAGCCTGGAAGGCAGGACAAGGAATGATTGGCATTCTCCTGCCTCGCATCAAGCCATTATCAAACCAGGCCCTCCTGGGCACTTTGCCTCACTCGGGCTGACCACTCAGCAGGCCAGGTGCCAGCCAGAGAGAAACCAGCTACTGTCCAGACACCAGGCTTCCCATAAGCCTTTATGCGCCACCTCCCTGCATGTCCCATGTAATCTCTCTCTTTCCAACCATGCTTCAAAAGGAAGGTGGCATCTCTCCTACAGAGAAATGACTACAGAAAATGATCCAAAAAATTCCCCGTGGAGTTATTAGTTCCCCTATGTCTTACCTCCACCTCTCTCTTTTTGAAATCTGATTGATTCCAAAAGGAAAGGATGGCTTCTCCATTCCCCCACCCTTCATTCTCCTTCCCCCACCCAACACTACCTCCATAGACCCAAAAGGGTCTCCTGCCCCAGGGACAGGATCTCCACATCCTTGAATCCTTGCACATTTTGGTAAATCTTCTGCATCCGAAATGCCAGGATCCTTGCACTTCCACTTGCACCTGAACCTGAGTGCACCCAGATGCCCAAGCTCAACTTCAAGGAAAGACCCTTGAGTTCCCTCCCCTTCCCCGTCACCTGATCCCAGAAGGTGTCGCTGAAATCCTCGTAGGCCTTGGAAGTGTTGTCATTGAGGTCAGGGGAGATCTCCTGGTCAACAGACACCTCCATATCCCCTTCAGCACCCACAGTGTCTGCGCACAATATGCCCTGTTCTGGTCACTTCACCACCATTGCCACCACCACAATCCAGAGGTTCATCCCATCACTCCTCTCCATGTTCCCTGAAGACTGAATGAATGGTAGGAGGAAAGGAGATAGGACTTCTAGGATAAGTTGTGCCAAGGTGAGGGAAAGGTTAGAGGTAAGGAGGCACAGCAGTCAGACCTGTGGTCTCTCCCTTGTCTGCCTCAGTGGGAGGCAGAATGATGGCCCCCAAAGATGTCTATGTCTTAGTCCCCAGAACCTCTGGATATGTTATGCTGCATGGCAAGGAGGAATCAAGATTGTATGTAGATTAAAATTGCTAATCATCTGACTAAAATGGGAAAATTAACGTGGATTATTGGGTGGGCTCAACATAATCACAAGAGTCCTTAACAGTGGAAGAGAAAGACAGGAGGTCAGAATCAGTCACAAGAAAATGTGACTACAGAAGAAAGACACAGATGGGGCGCCTGGGTGGCTCAGTTGGTTGAACATCTGACTTCAGCTCAGGTCATGATCTCGCAGTTTGTGAGTTCGAGTCCCACGTCAGGCTCTGTGCTGACAACTCAGAGCCTGGAGCCTGCTTCCGAGTCTGTGTCTCCATCTCTCTCTGCCTCTCCCCTGCTCATTCTCTGCCTCTCTCTCTGTCAAAAATAAATAAACTTTAAAAAATTTTTTGAAAAAAAAAAAAAAAGAAAGACACAGAGATGAAATGTTGCTGGCTTTGAAGATGGAGAGAGGGAGCCTTGAGACCAGGAATGTGAGAGGCTTCAGAACCTGAAAAGGGCAAAGAAATGGATTCTCCCCTAAAGCCTTCAGAGAAGAACACAGCCCTGCCGACACCTTGATGTTAGCCCAGTAAGACTCACGTTAGACTCCTACTCTACAGAATTGTAAGATAATAAATTTGCATTATCTCAGCCGCTAAGTTTGTTACAGTGGCAATTAGAAGTTAATACAGCTCCGAGCAGCCCAGACTGGGAGGAGACCACAGGAAGGAGTGTGGTCCAACCACCTCCTGGAGGTGAGGGTGAAAAAGAGGCATGAGATGAGGTAGAGGGAAGCATGAGAGAGAAGGCAAGAATGGCAGAATTAGACAAAATGGCATGAACACTAACAGGTAACCGCAGGGCTGGGCCCAGAGAGAGCCAGTGGCACCTCCCAGGAGAAAGTGCAAAAGGCAGGGCTCTGACAACTCACCCAGATCCACCTCTTCCACCACAAACTCCAACGGTAGCCATGGAAGATGCTAGGCAAGTGGCACTTGAGGCCATCCCATTTATCTCCATTCTGGCACCTGATCTCCTGGAGCTCACAGTGGTCCCCAGAGAACCCCAAAGGGCAGTGGCATAGGCCTAGCATCCAGGTGCCACCATGGTCACAGGTGCCTGGGCAACACAGTAAGAAAGGGAAGTTCAGGATAGGGTTTGCCCTTGGTGACACAGAAATTTATTAGGGGAGAGAGAAGACGGAACAGGGAAGCAGTAGGTCCAACCTGAGGTGTAGTCAGTCTAGACTGTGTGGTCATCTGAGTAGTGGTTGAAGTTGCCCTGGGTGACATAAGGGTGGTGGTAGTCTGAGAGATGACTACCGGTGTTTCTGGAATCTTGATGGTGGGTGGGGTGGAGTGAGTCAACTTGATTGAAGTCACCATGGCAGTTGGAAACCTGCTGCTTGGTTTCATGGTCAGTGGGAGGCTCATGAAGCCAGGCATATGTGGGACGGTTACAGAATTGGTGCTCATCCATCTTCCACTGGTGGGTCTTTGAGTGCTTATCAAAACCGTGTAACTGGGGACAGTCTCAGTGCTGATAGAACTAGGAACATCCATTATGCTGTTGGTAGGATGAGTTTCCAGAACGGAAGCAGAAGTGTCCGTATGCCTAGGAAACACAGTTGTCATACTGGTGGAACTAGGGGAGGTAGCCATCTCAGTAGTAGAGGCGAACACTGACATTGGGATGTGAGGCATCGAAGTAACTTCACTACTTGGACGCATTTCCATACATGAAGTAGTGAGAGAGGCAGGCACTATCGTAACTGATATAGATTCTGGACATGGGGTAGTAGAAGAAATAAAACAAGTGGTGGTTGTTTCAGTCGCAAAGGTCTGTTAGAGAAGACATGGTTGGAGAAGTTCTTGTAGTTTCGGATGAAAAAAGAGTAGTGAAAGCAGTGACAGAAGTCCCTGTATTTTCCATACCAGAGAGAGGTGAGAATGTAGGAAGAGAGTTAGGGGTGGTCGTGAGCATTGAATTTACACTGGCGGAGGATAAGGAAGAGGACATTATTGTTGTGGATATTGAAAAGGGAATAATAGTACCGAAAGAAGTATTTAGCGCGTTTGTAGATGTAGTCAGAGTAGGGAAAGAAAGTGTAGGAGAAACACAAGATGTACTGTGTGATATTGTGGGGGTGGGTGTTACCAACATTCTAGTAACAGTCATGGCTGTTTCTGGGGCAGAGAAAGTGGGTGAAGTGGCTGTGCTCGAAGTAGCAGAGATAGAAGTGTTTGTGGGAGTGGTGGTTTCAGTTGTGGCCATGGTGACTGTAGGGGTGAATGCAGCATGGGTACTAGGGAAGGTAGTAATCAAGGTGGATAAAAGGGTAGTGTTTGTTGTCAAAGAGGAGACTGACTGCGGTTGGGGCAGGTGGAGAAGATAGACTCATACTCATGGCTGATGTCACAGTATTGGTGGTGACTGGAGTAGAGGTGATAAATGTCAGAGAATTGACCATATTCATGGGAGTGATTGATGATGCAGTTGCAAGAGGAGAAGTAATCTCCATGGTGAGAGACTGTGTCCAAAAATCCCCAGTATGAGTAAGTGTGGTTTTCCAGGTGGATGTGGCATGAGAGGGTGTCACAGTCACCTTGCCTGTGTATGTAGTAAATCTAGTAGAAGAGGGTCGTCCTGTGGTCGGGGATGCTGTGTGTGTGTGTCAGTGGTAGTGGGTGCCAGGGTGGATTTAGCATTTGTGTGTGATGTATTTGTGCTCGTTGCAGTTGAGGTAGTCCTCTCTGTCCGAATGGTCCCATTGCTGCTGGTAGACGTGGAAGATGAGCCTGCATATGTAACTGGAGTGTGTGTAGCAAGGGTGGGAGGGGGAGTGCTGTGGGTACTTGTGAGCATGGGCGCCATAGTAAGCCTTGTGGAAGAGGTTGTGATGACACTGCATGTTGTGTCTGTATTTTGGGCGGCTGGGGGAGATGGGATGATACATGTGGGGATTGTGGACATTTTGAAAATAGTGCTTGTAGAGGTGAGGTCAGGAATGGTAATGAATGAACCATTGGTACCCCTGGATGTGGGGGTGATGGTTGTCAGTGTTGAGGCAGGCATGCCTGTACTAACAGAGGATGAGTTTATGGTGACGGCTAACCTCGGGGTACCAGTGGTGGGAGATGGGGTTATTGCTGATGTGGTCGTGCTTCCTGTAGAGTAGATATTTGAAGAAGTGACTCCTGGAGGACTGTGTGGTATTTTAGGGGTGGTTGTTGTTACCAAGATTGTAGTAGCAGCGGAAGCAGTTTCTAGAGTGGAGGAAGTGGGCAAAGAGGCTGTGTTCAAGGTGGCAATGGTGGAAGTGTTGATAGGAGTGGTGATTTCAGTTGCAGCTATGGTGTCAGTACTAGTGGGAGATGTAGGGGTGGACATGGTGTGGGTTATAGGGAGTAATAATCAAGGTAGATATAGGGGTAATGTTTGTGATCCAACTGGAGACTGGTTTTGTGGATGGGGCAGGTGGAGAAGACAGACACATACTCGTGGCTGATGTCAAGGGATTGGCGGTCACTGGGGTAGAAGAGGTTGATGTCAGAGAATTGACTGTATTCCTGGGAGTAATTAATGATGCGATTGTGGGAGGAGAAGTAATTTCTGTCATGAAAGACACTGTGGAAATGTCCTGTGTAGGAATAAGTGTGGTTTTCCAGGGGGTGTGGCATGAGGTGTGATGGTTGTCTTCCCCGTGTGTGTAGTGGCTGCAGTGGAGAAGTGTGGTTCTGTGGTTGTGAATGTCATGTGGGTGGTAGTGGGTTCCAGGGTGGTTTCAGAGGTGGTAGATGTGGCAGAAACAGTTGTATTTGTTGGGGTGATTGATGCCATGCCTGGAGAAGTCGAAGGAGTTTCTGTCATGTAAGCTTCATTTCCGTGGAGCTCATTGTTTTCAAAGCGATTGTTGTTGGTGTACTTAGCGTGGCAGTCACTTCAGTGGAAGCAGATACACTTTGTGTTGTAGGTGTTGTTGATACACTTGTTGATGTGGGATCATGAGTGGTGGCAGTCGCTGTTTTAAATGTAACGGTGGTGTTAGGAAGTGAAGTGGTGGTCATAATCAAGACGGTACTGGCGATGGGTGAAGAGCTGTGATCAGTTACTGTTGCCGAGATGTTCGTGGCAGTCAGAGAAGGGGCAATAGAGGTAGAAGCGATTATTGGGGTAAGAGACCTGGTTGTATGAATGCTTGCTGTGGTCAGGCTAATCCTGTTTGTGTTACCCGTTGTAGAGGATGTGGGCATATGGAAGGTTGTGTGCGTGGTTGGGACAGAGGAAGAGAGTAGGGCCATGGCTGTGAGAGTCTTCCCCAGAGTGGTAATGGTCATGGGAGGAGAGATCACGGCAGAGGTGAGTCTCTTGGTGGTAGTTGGGGTCATGCAGGTGGTGGCAGGGTAAGCGGCAGTGATTATAAGGCTCATGGGATTGATACACTTTATGGTGCTCGTGTAGACAATGAGGGTGGGTGGAGTGGTTTCAGCCTTGATGACAAACTTGGACATCGGGATGGTTGAGGTGTTGGTCTTGACTGTAGTGTTGAGCACTGCTTCAGAAATAGGTTTAAAGTAGGGGAAGTGGTGGAAATTTTAAGTGTGCGTTCCCTACTGTTGGCAGCTGGAGAGGCCCTGCTGGGGACGGTGAGTGGCCACCTTGCTGTGCCTTTGGAGCGTGGGGAGTTGCTGAGAGCGGTGTGAGCCACTCCTGCTCCGGGGAGAAACTCAGCGGAAGTGGATGCGGCCGTGGGGAAAGTGCCTGTTTTGACGAGAGAACAGAGGGATTCATTTGCAGGTTGTTTCATTACTCTAAACACCATGTAAGCTTTTTACTACCATGCCATTTTCCAGATATGTTTCGCAGAAGGTAGGAAGTTCCATTGCTTGTCCCTCCATCAGAGGCAGCTTGGGGCTAGGGCCTTTGAGGTTCTGAAGAGGGTGCCCTCGGCCCCTTGCCCTCCTCTTTTGAGTGGGAACTTTCTAGCCCTGGGATGGCTGTGCTGAACATGCAGGTTCAGCTGAGGGTCCTTCCACCCCACCCCTTTCTCCACACATGCATGTTTCCCTTACTCTGTTCCTTCCTCTTCCACCACCTGCTGCCCGTAGTCCCACCCTTTGGCTCTCCGCTGTCCTTCTCCCTATGACACACTGCTGTCTGGGCTAACTTTCCTCTTCCAAGGGAGCCCAGCCAAGCCCAGGCTGGGGGTGGGAACACATCATAGACACAGGGGCCATTGGGTCAGAGAGGGGAAATCTGCACGGAGAGCTGCAAAGGGAAAACCAGAGACTGAGGCTCAGACTTTATTGAGATTGAAGGACAGGGAGAGAGGACCACACTAGTAGGCCAAGAGACTGGACAGAGAAGGAAGCTTCCAGAAAATGATGACTGAACAGATAGGCATGGGTCCCCAAAATCTGAAGGTTTTGCAGTAAGTGTTAACGAAAACAGACATATTTTCTATCACCCACTTTATTTTGACCACTGGGTTAATTAGTTTACAAACATAAACTCCTCACTCCATAGATAATCATCAACCCCATTTTACAGGGGGTAAGAGTGAGGGTCAGAGATCTCATAATGCTGGGGCTGAGTGGCGGGGAGACTCCTGCAGCCACAGTGGTTGCAAGCAGGAAGTGCCCAGACCTCCTCAGCATCAGCCTCCTCTTCACCTTGGACTCAATACATCTTTGTTCTGAGAGCTGGGGTTTCATTTCTCTGCCTAGCTGGGTGTGTCAGGGAGATGGGGGTGAAGATTATGAAGATCCCTGGGTTGGAGCTTCTAGAGCCGGGAGGTAGCCTTAGAGGTAAGTGAGAGGATGGCCTGTGGGCTCCTAGGTTAGGAAGGTCTAGGATTGGGGTTCAGGAGCAGACCCCAGGAGACAGAGGAAAGGGAAATACAGAGGAATTGTGGGGTTCCTAAGGAATAGAAGAGAGAAGGCCCTGGACCTCACACTGGATGGTACACACCCAACCTTTTGGAAGCAATCAGTATCCCTCCCCAACCCAGCCCTGCCAATGACAGCTGTGCCCAGAAACATGGGCTGGGTGGGGGATGGGAGAGATAGGGACAGAGCTGGAGGAGGGGACAGAGATCAAAGGCAGAGACATCTCCAGAGAGAGGAGACGTCTCCAGGGGCAGAGTCAAGGCTATCATGGAGAAAGCACCACCAGAAGTAAAGGAAGAGTCCAGAGAGGAGGGAGCACTGGGGCTGGTGGGGGGAAGGACAGAAGAGATGTGGGGCTCAGGAAACCAAATCAAAGTGGGAAGAGCACTCTTCCGGAAAGAGGTTATGCCCACCCTCCAGATGCATGCACCTGCCACCTGCCTGGTCCTGGATGGAGAGCGGCACCAGCTGGACCCGGCTTCCTTCCTCCTCCCCCCTCTCAGTGCCCCCTGCACACAAAGCTCTGAGGAATCCCTCCTGAGCCTCCCCTTAGGCTTCAGAGTCACGTCCCCCCACACACGCCTCTGCCCTGGAATATCCAGAGGGTCGCTGCAGCCCTTTTCCCGCCCGCCCCCCTCACCTCTGGCCCCCGTGGAGGCCCTGAGCACCCTGAGGAAGTCGAGGAGCCTGAGCAGCTTTATGGGTCTGGTGCAGCGGCAGAGCAGGAGCCAGAACCGGGGGCAGCTACGGGAAGCAGCCCTTCGCACAGAGCAGCACCCAGCAGGAACTGAAAGGCACGGTTAGCTACCCTGCTGGACGTGGGGGCCAAGCACAGGTTCACCTCTGCACCGCCCACCTCACTCCTCTCTCCCCCTCCTCCAGGTATCTGACCTCACTGCTGTGGGAAGGGAAGACATCAAGGAGACAAGACTAGCCCAGGAGGTGTCAGATGGGGAGAGCTGCTGGGAGCCCAACCCCCAGCCTACCTGGGCCACTCAGAGCAGTTCCTTGGACCCTACCTTTCCCCTCCCCAGCACCACCCCCCTCCCAAGAAGCAGCAAAACTGGATGGGGAATACACTTGGTCAAGACCTTGGACTCTGGAGTCTGGGGCTGACTCTCACAGCCTTTCCTTATTTTCAGTCCCAGCTGCAGGAGAGAGAGGTGAAAACTTGTTCCCCTCACTCCCTCTGCCCCTTTCTCTTCCCTGTCTCCATCCTGCCCTTACCACGACTTGGACTGAAAGCCTACAACCAAAGCTCATGAGTTCGAGCCCCACATCAGGCTCTGTGATGACAGCTCAGAGCCTGGAGCCTGCTTTGGATTCTGTGTCTCCCTCTTTCTCTGCCCATTCCCTCCTCTCTCCCTCTCTCTCTCTCTCTCTGTCTCAAAAACAAACAAACATTTAAAAAAAGAGACATTTCCAGATAAACAAAAGCTGAGAGAGTTCATGACCACTGACTTGTCCTTCAAGAAATGTTTCAAGGAGTCCTCCAAGGTGAAATTAAAGTCAAGAGACAGAAATGAGCAGAATGGGTAAAAACTCACGCTCCAACTGTGTCTACAAGAGACTCGCAATCCAAGAGACAAACGATCTCTACTGAGATCACTGTTGAAAGTGAATAGTGGTTCCCAGAGGCTGGTGAGGAGGGGGTGGGGGGAGAAAACGGGAAATTGTTATTGAATGAGCATAGAATTTCAGTTTTATAAGATGAGAGGAGCTACACAGATGGGTGGTGGTGACGGTTGCCCAATAATGTGAATGTACTTAATACCACTGAACCATACAGTTAAAAATGGGTGAGATGGTAAATTTTATGTTATGCATATTTTACCACAGTTTTTTTTTTAATTTTTTTTTCAACGTTTTTTATTTATTTTGGGGACAGAGAGAGACAGAGCATGAACGGGGGAGGGGCA